CTCTGTGAGCCTGGACACCACCTCCCCCGTGTCCCAGCTGGAGCCCGTGGCATGTTCTTACCTTGTGCTCCTCATTCCTTCCCCCAACCCAGCTTTCTAGCATGAAGCTCTCACACTCCTACATCCACTCGGACTTACATAAATCCTACCAAGTGCTACTGGCAAAATCATCACACTAGGTGCTTTTAAAATATATATATTTTGAAACAATGCCTCTTTCTTTGCATTAAGAATAAAGGAATATAATTATATTGCTTCAAAGCATTTGTTCGTAATCATTCTAGTGGTATAATTTCCTGCTCTTTAAAGGACAGAGCTCTGGAAAACAGTATTGGGAGACACAACGCCCTTCAATTTCATAAATGAAAAGGAAACAAAGACAGGAGTTTCTGAGAAACCTCTCTGGAATGAACTGCATCTCCCCTTCCACCCCTCAGTGTACTGACGTGTTTTAGCGCTTGACAGGAAATGCTAGTGTATTCCGTAGCATAAGGTTCTATTTTCAAAGAGCAGGCATGACATTTAACTGTGAGACAGAGAGGGCTAAGCAGAAGATGCGCAGCATGAACAGGAGGCCACTGGAGGGACTGGGCTCCTTGCCTTGGTGTGGTGACAAGGGGGACGGAGTTCTTCATGCTCAGTCCCAGGATTTAAAGCCATGAATGGAGACTAAAATACCAAGACAAGGCTGTATCGCCCTGAAGAAGTGTTTTCCCTTAGACGTGTCACATCCCACAAGTGGTATTTTTTAGAGTGGATTAACCATATTTATCTTCCACAGAATGTGTAAAATAATGACTACACAGGAATTTTTAATATATTTATTTCTTCCACTTTATAAAATGTTCCATTAATGAATTATTGGCCCTTTGGTTCTGAATCTACACTGTGCCCTCCTGTGTGGTACCTGAGCCAGACCCTGTGAACATTTCTTCCTGTCTGTTGGTGCAATTCCAGGTTTTGTTACCACAGACACGGGGACATCATTACAGAGACTCTCTGGTCCCCGCAGCCTTTTCCTTCACTTTGAGCACTGCTGCCAGCAATGTGAAGGGGTCCTCGTGCAGCACATCTTCCAGAAAGTTCCTCTGACTCCCTAACTGCTGGATTCTGGTATGACAGCTGTGACATGTTCTACCAGCTCTAGACCACTGCACATAAGTTCATAAGTTAGGTGGCCTTGTGTTCAACTTCAACTGGGGTCATATACCAAAACTCACCAGCACCCTAGTAGGTAGCTTGTGAACCACCAGCAGTCCACGGGATGCTAGCAAACTCCTCTATCATCCATTCACAGCTACAGTCTCTTTAAGTGTCTTAGTCACAGCCTGGGCCCAGACTCTCCCCCACATTAGCTCATCTTTGGATTTGCTTCATCAATGCTAGAATTTATAGCTTGTCCTCTATGTCTGCTTTCTCTGTATTTCTGAGTCTGTTTTATCCCATTTGGTAGTCACCTTTACTAGTTGATAATTCTCTATATTAACTGTCCTGACTGAACCTGAGCAATGCAAGGTTAGCCTTCAGATATTCCTAGAGACACTCTCAAAAAGAGAACTCGGGTATTAGCTTGACGATGAAGTTTGACTAGAATGCAGTACCAGGTCTCTGCCAACAGGAAATGGGATCCTTCAAAGTAGACTCAAATTCATCAAGTTGTCACCTCTAAACTCATCAGGTTATAACCTGTGATGAACTGCAGTGAAGTACTAGAGCCACAAAAGCTTCTGTCCTTGACTTTTATGGCAGGGAACATGGGTTGGTAAGAACCCTTTTGAATGAAAAGAAGCATTTACCTAAAGAAAACAGCTGTGGGGCTGGGGAGGTTGCCCAGTGGTTAGAGCACTGTCCGTCCTGCAGAGGACCTGGGTTTGATTCCCAGAACTCATACTGGACTGCTCACAACTGCCTCTAGCTCCACTTCCAAGGGATCTGACCATCACATGCACTAGACACGCAAGTGGTACATATATACAAGCAGGCACAACCACTTATACAAATAAAACTTTAAGAAAAACTCTTTTCAAAAACCAACCATTAACCCCCATTCCAAGTGATGGTCCAAAACCTAACAGTCAGTTTCTGCATCAGCTCTTATTTCTTATAGTTATTGGGCTAAACTTTCCAGAAACCAAAAATAAAGTGTTCTGTACTGCTAGATTACAAAGCTGTTGAAATCTTTTTTTTAAAGATTTTATTTCTTTATTACATATACAGTGTTCTACCTACATACCGGAATAAGGTACCAGATTGAATTGTAGATGGTTGTGAGCCACCATGTGGTTGCTGGGAATTGAACTCAGGACCTCTGGAAGATAAGTCAGTACTCTTAACCTCTGAGCCATCTCTCCAGCCCAGTTGTTGAAATCTTAATGTCAGCAAGAATCTCCTGAGAGAGTTAGTGCACAGACTGGGAAAGAATGGCACCCAAAGCTAGAAGGGGGTGTCTGGTTTGTTTCATGATGGAACTAGCAAGTCCAACCCCCAAAGAAACTCAGACGGTACCCAGACCATGGAAGCAACTTACTCTTGCATCTCTTGAAAAACTAGTCATCTTTTGCTGGGAAATTTTCATGGCATAGCCTCATCTGGAGTAGATACTACTTAGTAGGGAGATGCCCATTCTCCTCAGTGTCATAACCAGTCACTGTTCTTACTCTCAACATGCTTCCGAGGGCACACAGGATCATCCCAGAAGGAAGTAACGCACACAACCAAAACAACAAAAACAAAACCCCCAAATCCCTGGAAGTGTGATTAGAAAATATCAGTGGTGTGAGAAAGAGATCAATAGAAAATATACAGTAGATGAAGCTGCTTTTATGACTAAAAATGCATTTATCAGATCCCATAGTTAACACAAAATGTGTTAGCTCTGGAAACTGAAAGTGTCTCTAACATTTATATGGCTAGTTGACTGAAACTTGAACTCAATGTAGTCAACATGTTATGAAAATGGGATGTCAGACCTCCCTTGACATGATAGCGAGTAGAAAATCCAAAGGCTTAGGGATATGTGGCTGCTGAAGTGATCAATCATGTATGAACTACATATGTACCTACCTGTGATGGGTAGCTCTCATTGTTAACTTGACATAATCTAGAATCATATCGGCAGAGGGTCTCAATGAGGGACTATCTGCACTAGGTTGGCTCTGGGAATGTCTGTGGGGACTGTTTTGATTAGATTAATTGAGGTAGGAAAATCCACCTACTGTGGTGTCACCATTCCCTACGCAGAAGACTGTGAACAAAAATATTCCCCTCAGTTGATTTTGCCAAGGTATATCATGATAGCAACAGGAAATGAAACAAAGTTACACCTCAACTACTATCCCAAAACTACACACTTGAAAAGGACAGAGAGAGACACTCCCCGCATGAAGACCCTGAAACGCATTCATTAGAGGGTCACTGCATCTCTCAAATGTTTATGTTATTCTACTTTGTACACCAGATATGACCAAAAGATTTGCCAACACACATTTCAGTGGCTTCATGATTTCTTTAGGCATGATTAAATGCATCAGAACAGCAGAGGTTAGGTACCAAAAACATGGTTGGTACACTTACCAGCAAAGGCAGCAAGGATATATTAGCCAAATGCTTAAGCCCACAGGAATATCCACTGGAAACTAATATCCCGATTTCCCAGGAATAAAATCAGTATGGAACGTTTTAGAAGGTGGTTATTATATACATAGTAGAAAATAAACAAAAGGGCTGGAAAGATGGCTCAGTGGTTAAGAGTCCTGCCTGCTCTTACAGAGGACCCATGTTCAAGTCCCAGCATCCACATGGCAGCTCACAACTGTTTGTAACTCCAGCTCCAGAGGACCTGACACCCTCACACCAATGCACATAAAATAAAAATTAAATCATTAAAAAGAAACCAAACAAAAAACATGTTATGTTTGATGGCCATTAAGTAACCTCAGTGGAAAATCACAGCATAATGTCCAGTTTCTAGGCATAGGCCAGTTGAAAGGTCTAGAACCCTCTGATGGAAAGACATGCCAGATTTCCTTGTGGAGGAGCCCATGAGGTCATCTAGGGGTAAACCCTCCAGGCCATCACCAAAATGAACTGGTTGCTATTAGGCAGAGAGTGCAAGAAGGCAGACTACTCAGAATTCCAAAGACTAGTAACCAACAGCCTTGAATCGCCTATAAGTTCCTCACATCCCCACAACAGTTAGTGGGAGAATAAAACACAAGCTCAAATTATAAGTGGGTCTGTGTGATGTGTTAGTACTAATTGGATGAAAATGTTTATCTCAAGTGTTCTATCCCTGTTAGGGATGACCCCAAAGGATAGCACTTTAGGAAAATCCTCCCAGAGAGCAGAACTTTGACAATCTATTTGGTGACTCACTTGGTCTGGAATGTGAAATGACCCAAACTATGAATTTCTGCTAACTCACAGTGGAGTGCTAACAGTTTGGCCGGATGACAAGGCACTCTAATAGGAAAGGAATAGAAGACTGGGAAGAGAGAACCTTGGGAAGATGGATGTAGATAGACCTTCCACACGGGGAGACTGTGTCCCTTGTGAAAGCTCGGCAACAGCATTCACTGCAGGGGAGTGTCCAGGCATCCAGTGAACAAAATTATACGCTCTGCAGATACCACTTGGCCTCTTTCCCAGCTATCCCAAGGCATGCTCCGTGGGCCTGAGAACAAAGTGGCCGTGAGAGCAGGGCTGGGGACCATATACAGGGTTAATAAATGTAACTTCCCTTTAATGAGGATGAACTGTCTGCTGGTCCTGGTGGATATCTATCAGGTCTGCTAATAACTCAGCTCCATCCCCAAGAGGACAGGTGGAGGGCCCCAAAGAGGGGGAGGAATTTATCTTCACCGGCATAAACACATCTCCTCGACAAGATTTTCCCCTGACACTCTTCATCCCTGCCTCACAGAATGCCTTATTCACCGTGTTAGTGTTCCACTCTCAGCTGCTGCCGAAGGAAGCCACTCCCAGCACAGGAAGTGAGGCAATCGCCTCCCGGCAGTGGGATTAACTAAGCAGCGCTCACCACACAACTCTCCCCTCACGCAGCAGCTGACTAGCAGAAAAGTGGAGTGGATCACTGAAGACTTGGTTACAGGACCAGCTAAGGGACAACAGACATGAGCATTTCCGGTTCATTTTACGGGATGAACCATTTACGCTTTGTCTAGCCACTGTCTCCCCTATACACATGGGGTTTGGACTAAAGGTGAGAGACTTTGCTTCCTTAGTCCCCAAAAACAGAAGGAAAAATGATCCTACTAGGGGATATGTGATCCTACTGAATTGGAATATGAGAGTGCCATTGGCTGTTTTCAAGTTCTTTTCTACTATTAAACTTTCAAGCAGGAAAGAAGAAAGTTTTCTCTATTACGTGGAGAGATTGATCCCAATTCTGTGGGAGAACTGGGTTGCTGCAGGGAGTATGGTCCAGCTTTGTCTCTGAGGCAGAGTTCCTGAAAGGATCCACCTAAAATAAAGGTTTGTTTGGGCTCTTGGCTTTACAGCTTCAAGGCATGGCTGATTGGCTCTGATACTTTGGGGACAGTGGCAGAGGGGACCATCATGGCAGAAGTGCATGATGGCACAAAGCTGCTCACCTCAAAGGGGTCAGGAAACAAAAAGGGAAAAGAAAAGAAGGGTAGAGTCCCAATATCCCCTTCCAAGGCATACCACCCAAGGCCTTAACTAACTTCCTTCTGCTAGGTCTACTCTGAATGTTTCCACCCACTCCAGTCACTAGCATGGGGTAGTACCCCTGCCTCTACCTTGTGAAAATCAAGATACAAACCAGAACAGAAGTCTACATCTGAAACACAGGGAATTCTGCAGGCATGTTCTAGGACCTCCATACCCAATAATAAATGTTAGTGAAACATACAAGAATCAATGACAAACAGGGGTAATAAGGACCCAGAAACTTCAAGAATAAAAGTTCAGGTCCTCTCACCAGTAAAGTCGTCCAGGCCAGCTGAGGTTTAGGCTGAGGGAAAACAGAAATATGCAATGACTGCTGAAAGAATCACTTGAACCAGGTCAGTTAGAGCGATGAAGACTGTAGCGCTTCTGGCATTTTCCTTTGCTTGCTCTTTGCATGTGTATGGACATTTGCAGACACTATTGCTTTCTCCTTTCTCCTCCTTCCTCTGGTGACTCCATACATAAGTTGTTAGGGGTGGGCCTTATGACTTAGGCATTATGTAATAATATTCAGCGTGCTATAATGGACTCTGAGGGGACGTTAACAAAGCCAGGGATGGATGAAATGACAGGACTGCCCACCTTATTTCGGGGAAGTGATGACAATGTCACTTGTGCAAAGCTGGTGTGTGGACGTTCACATGCGTATGTAGGGTGTGTGCCGAAGCGAAAGGCACAACACTGCATTCGCCACCCTTTGCCCTGCTTCGTGATATCTTTATGGCTAGCTTCTCTGCCAGATGACACTCTGTCAGCGTGTGTCAGTAAACGGCGACGAAGACACCGCAAGGCGCAAGCAGAGGAAGAAACGTTTCTTGTATGGTGGTTTTCCCTCCAGTGGCCAGCAGCATGTACAAGATCCACTGTTCCCCACCCTTCAGCGAGTTTTACCAGCACCTCATGAAAAGATTCTTGCAGGCCAGCTCCAGCCCCACCCTCCAAGCAGGTAGCATCCCACGTGACAACGACAGTCTAGAACTTCAAGGTGATACCACAGCAAAACCTCCCACCACCAATGGCTGTACCACTTCCTCCCACATAAGACCCAGATTCAGGATTGGGGGGCGGGGCTCCCTCCACTGTGAAGGTAGCAGCTGCCTCTGTTGTTGCTAGGTAATGAATACAGTGCTGTGTCTTCTGCTATACAGGCCTTTAAAAAAAGATTTAGTCATTTTTTACGTATATGGGTGCTCTAGCTGCAAGCATGCCTGCATGACAGAAGAAGGCATCCAATCTCATTCTCTAGCTGCATGCATGCATGCCTGCATGACAGAAGAAGGCATCCAATCTCATTCTCTAGCTACATGCATGCATGCCTGCATGACAGAAGAAGGCATCCAATCTCATTCTCTAGCTGCATGCATGCATGCCTGCATGACAGAAGAAGGCATCCAATCTCATTCTCTAGCTACATGCATGCATGCCTGCATGACAGAAGAAGGCATCCAATCTCATTCTCTAGCTGCATGCATGCATGCCTGCATGACAGAAGAAGGCATCCAATCTCATTCTCTAGCTGCATGCATGCATGCCTGCATGACAGAAGAAGGCATCCAATCTCATTCTCTAGCTACATGCATGCATGCCTGCATGACAGAAGAAGGCATCCAATCTCATTCTCTAGCTGCATGCATGCATGCCTGCATGACAGAAGAAGGCATCCAATCTCATTCTCTAGCTACATGCATGCATGCCTGCATGACAGAAGAAGGCATCCAATCTCATTACAGATGGCTGTGAGCCACCTTGTGGTTGCTGGGAATTGAACTCAGGACCTCTGGAAGAATGCTCTTAACCACTGAGCCATCTCTCCAGCCCAGCTGCATAGTCCTTTAGTGGCTAACTATCTTGCTGTCTCCTGACTGGACCCTGATTGGTATAATCTACTATGTCTGTACTGAAGGGCCTATTGTTTCATCGTACTATTCCTTTGGCAGAGTATACAGTTGAGACAGTATACACCCAAAAGTTAATTACAGTGACTTCTAGGACTATTAGTTTTACAGTATGTTAAGGGAAGATCAGGAGTGGACATAATTCCTTGAATGAGAGATGAGAGAAACCAAGTTCAATATACTATGATGAGGTAAATACAAAAATGATGGTGAACTATCATAATTATCACTACCCTCTAAGCTGAGTCTGGCCATTAAGAGCTCTGTCACCATCAAGGAATCCTCGTCAATTACACTCTGCATCCCATGCTTTACCTAACACTGTAAAGTCATTGTATTCAGAGCCTGCCCTCTATACATATAATTGTGGCTCCCTGGGGCTCAAGCCCTCTGTAGCCAACACATAGAACATTTCCATTTTTTAACCTGTTGATTTTTTTTTAGTTGCTCCTCTGTGAGAAAGTTGGAACAGAAAACTAAGGAGCAGGAAGACAGCTCAAAATATTAACCCGGCCCATGAGAGCCCGTGGCTAGTTCTTGCTCCCATGGCTAAATTCATTGGTGTTACTAAATTTGGATCGCATACTAAAAGCACATGATTTTTATCTTCTTAAAAACAACAGCGGAGGATGAGGAGTTCAAAGTCACGGTGGCTTACATCATGAACTGACCAATAAATGAGACCCTGTCTCAAACTGTGATGAAACATAACTAATCTTAAGACCTACTAAATATCCAACTTCTCTGTCTGTGAAAGAGCAGAGGCAGCAGCTGGCTGCAGAGAGCATGCATTTGGGCTCAGAATTTCCTGACGGTCACTATAAAAAGAACAAGAAACCTCTCGGGGTAGGTCTTGCGTCACAGCAAAGATTTAGATGTGGGAGTCTGGTCATGTCTTTCCATTTACCACAGGTGCTGGCACCCACCATCCCCTGCTCTCCCTCCACAGGCACCTCACCCTGAGACAGGGGAGGTCTTTATATAACTTAGATGTCTTCACATAACCCAGGGGGAAAGAGCGTCACCATTGTCAAGGGCCAGAAGTGAGTCACAAACATGTTTAAACCTGTCTCGTTCACACAGGCTCTCTCTGTGGAGCTCTCTGCTAGAGAGTCCCAACTGTGGGTTGTGGAAACCTGGAAATCATTAGCCAATTCTCCTCATGCAGTTGAGGGCAAACTTCATTATACTTTATTAAGAAGAATACAAATGAGGAAGTTTTGAAGTTTATTAGAAAGGAACTCCTGACATAACTTGTTTGGTGGTTCTTTTGTTTTGTTGTTGTTCTGGCTGTGCTATAAACGGGACACAGGGTCCTACATGTGCTATCTATCTTTTAGCATTCTTTTTTAAGTTTATTTATTATTGTCATTATTTTTTTTTGAAACAGGGTTCCTCTGTGTAGCTCTAGCTGTCCTGGAACTCACTCTGTAGACCAGGCTGGCCTCAAATTCAGAGATCACCTGCCTCTGCCTCCCGAGTGCTGGAATTAAAGGCGTGCGCCACCATCGCCCAGCTTAAGTCTATTTTTCTCTCAATTACATTCGTTTATTTGTATGGGAGTGGATGGATAGATAAGCACCACCATGCACATATGTGGAGGCCAAAAAACAACTCTGGGAATTGGTCCTCCCCTCAGTGTGGGGTTCTGGGGACTGAACTGAGGCTGTCAGGCTTGGTGGCAAGTGGGCCACCTCACCAGCTTCATTTTAAAGAAATTCAACTGAAACGCTTCTCGATCTTTTAGCTATATTTCATGGATGAACCTTAAAGGAATAACCTTCTTCTTGATCTCTCTGTCTACACTGTTAATACATCCTATTAAGTGACCTATAATCACAGACTACAAATGCTCTTTCTGAAATCTTAGACCTGCTACCTCCCGACAAGCCCTGCTGCTCTCGATGACAATCTCAATAGAACCTCAAGGGTCTCGAGAGACGGGACCCACCCTGTTCCCATTTCAAGCAGGCCCAGGGACCTGAAATTTTTTGCAAAATCATCTAATTTTTGAAGATCCATGACGCACTTTTAGAGAGATACACACATGGGGTGAGAATAGGTGCGCCCACGCAGCACTGGTTTTCACCTTACTCAAATGACGGGCCAGCACACAGCTGTGCAGAGCAGTGGTACCCTCTGCCCTTTCCCACAATGCCTTTCGCTTCTCATCGTGCAATGCTTGGCTGGCTTTATTCTTTTTCACTGCTGTGTGGAGAAGCTGGAGTTTACAGCCCTGATTAAGATAGAGATTTCAATTCTTGGACTTCTTGATGTTGTAATATTTGCCCAATGGTGAGTGTCATTTTGACAAAGCTGAAAGTTACCGAAATTGAACTTGTGAACAGACATGTTAACACTCGTTTTCCCTTTGGATAAGAACACGGCGTTAGGAGACGCACGTGAAGCTACCGTGTCTGCCCTTAGGGAACAGAGGGTGAAGGAGACCAGGATCAGGATGTGAGCTCAGAAACAAATGCACGATGGAAAGCATGCAGGTGTGGAGCGAGGAAACCCAAGGGAGGGCAAACCTGGGGTCATGGCTGGAGGCTGCCATGAGGGTGAAGCCTGGCCGGGATAGTGGGTAGGTAAGTACAGCTCAGGATTCTTACTGGAAGGTAACAGCCCTTCCTTCCGTCCAGCGACTGAAAGTAAATGGCGGTGGAAGTGTGCGGGGGGGGGAGCAGAGGTCACCGCAGTGGGTGGAAAGTTCACTCTGTGATGGACAGAGAACTATCTCGGTACTGAAGTCAAAGAAGGTGAGGGTGCTTGCAGAACGAGGAAGCGCAGCTGTGCCAGGATATTTAACAACTCTTGAGGATAGCTGGAGATGGCTCAGCGGATAAAGGCTGCCAAGCCTGACGGCCTGAGTTCAATCCCTGGGGAAGAACAAACTCCCGCTAGTTCTTATCTGATCTCCACTTGTGCACTCCGGCATAAGCACATCCATGCAGTGAGGAGGGGGTAGAAAGCAAATAAACATTTAAAAGGACTAATTTTTGATGGTTAACAAACTAAACACCATCTATTTTCACTGAGAAGCTATATAAAATTAATTTTGGGGAGACTGAGGAGATGCTGATCAAAATTCTACTTAGAAGGTGCGAGTTCAAGCCATCTCTTGTACTTCATGATGACACAGCCAATCTGTCCCCAGAGTAGATCTTAAATGTTCTCACCGCAAATAAGCACATAAGGTAACTGTTAAATAGCTGGAATAGGCTCTATATAATGCACATATTTCAAAAAGGGAAAGAATTATATTTCAATTGGGAATTAAAACCATAATAAAATAATTTTGTTTCTCTTTAAAAATTGAAAGCATTGTAATTTTATTTATATCCTACTTTCTATAAACTGAATTCCTAGCAACGAGGAAGGAGGACCCTCTCACATTGCCTGAAAAGACAGCCCATCCTCAGTGGATTTCCTAACCTGCTAGAGTACAGGAAGCATCTGCTGAATCAAGGGGAGACCAAAACTGTAAGGTAGCTTTTAATTAAAAAAAAAATCCCAAAGCCTGATTCCCGGATAGTGTAATACAGGGAGATCTTGATCGCCACACCTCTGTGAAGGACTGCACGGGGGGGGGGGGCTCTGCAGGGCAAAGGAGAACTGGGGAGAGAAGGCTTGTGTCCAGATGCAACCTCAGCCTCCCCGCACTCTTTTTTTTTTTTTTGGTTGCTTGTTTGTTTTGGTTTTCAAGACAGGGTTTCTCTGTGTAGTCCTGATTGTCCCGGAATTTGCTTTGTAGACCTGGCTGGCCTCGAACTCATGCCTGCCTCTGCCTCTCTGCCTCTGCCTCCCGAGTGCTGGGATTAAAGGCATGCACCACTATCTAGCTCCTCCATGCACTCCTACCCAAAGGAGTCAGGCCCCAGGTTCCTGCTTCTTCCCTAAACTCTGAACAGGGCGTTGATGGAGACTCCCTCCTCCTCCTCCACAGAGCACGTTTAAACAAACAGGTGTGCATGCTTTTCTCTCTTTGTACTGAATTCTTCAAAAGGAAAATTCCTTCCCACTTACCCTGACAAGTGGCTGTGGGTAAACATTCTGAGCTTTTTACAGGTTTGCTAAAACAAACATGGGGTGGGTGATGGGGGTGCCATAATAAAAGGAAAAAGACTGACTGAAGTACTATCAAGTACTGGTTACACGTTCTTTCTGTTTCACCCACAGAGCAAATACAGATCCAGATGAGCCATCTCTACACAAAGGCGGAACCCTAAAGCCTTACTTGCTAGTGGGAGCTCAGGCTGTCCTAGCTGCACTCCTGAAGGATGCTGGGAGCTCAGGCTGTCCTAGCTGCACTCCTGAAGGATGCTGGGAGCTCAGGCTGTCCTAGCTGCACTCCTGAAGGATGCTGGGAGCTCAGGTTGTCCTAGCTGCACTCCTGAAGGATGCTGGGAGCTCAGGTTGTCCTAGCTGCACTCCTGAAGGACACTAAAAGAAGAGAAGCACCCAGCACCCAGAACCCAGCACCCAGACAAATGCGAAAGACACAACTTAAAATCCCCAGGTTTCCTCAGCAATCATCCAAGACCTACAGAAACACACGTGGAATTTGTGTTGACTTTCTACTTCACATACGCAGGCCTTCATGATGGCAAAACGGCTGGGGGGGGAGATGATAACTCTGGGCCATCACTGACATTCTAGGAGACCTGAAGCAGAGCACACCTAAAGTCTGCTTTCAAGGCATTCTGTATGATTTGAAACTAAACAGGGATGAACTTCCTATCTGTATAGAGCATATATAATTTCCCGTGCTCTCTACCCCACCAGATGGCATGTATTTGGTTTCTTTCTATTTTTTATGATTACAAAATAACACGAAGAACTGGGGAGATGGCTTAGTGCTAAGGCATAAGGTCCTGAGTTTGGATTCACGACACATGCACGAAAAGCCCAGAGTGGGAACTTCTGCCTGCAATTCCAATGGGCAGGCAAAGATGGGAGAATCCAGGAGCGCACTGATTGCACAGTTTAGTCAATTAATGAGCTCCTGGTTCAGTGAGAAACCCTGCCTTAAAAAATTAAAGCGGAAAGTGATTGAGAAAGACACCCAGCATTTGTCTCCTGCCCACACCCCGCCGCATACTTGCAGACAAAGAACACTTACACACAAAAAGGATATCCAATTTGGATATCCAACTCTTTTTGTTTGTTTGTTTGTTTTTGAGACAGGGTTTCTCTGTATTGTTTTGGAGCCTGTCCTGGAACTCGTTCAGTAGACCAGGCTTCATCTTGAACTCACAGAGAGCCTCCTGCCTCTGCCTCCCGAGTAATGGGATTAAAGGCGTGTGCCACCACCACCTGGCCAATCAACAACTCTCACTATACATGCATATGTACTTTCCCCATTTACCCCCAACAACAAATTCCAGTTGACAGTAACGCTTCCTCTTGACTTGTCAGTCTCTCAAGCTACCTTCCAGAAGGTCACGCCATTTTAGATTTAGCATGCATGTGTGCTGTTATCGTCACCAGCTCTAAGTGTCCCGTCCTGTACACTTCCACCCAGCTCACATGTTCTATCATACAGAACGTCCCATATGACTGGTTCTCAAGTAGGAGGAGACTCCATTTCCAGTGGACATGTGACATGTATAGTTAAGGTGTTTAGAAACAATCCAGTTCATAATACAAAATGTCAAAAATATTGTTTGCTGCAGGTTAAGGAAATAATAGGATAAAAAACAAAGCATCATTAAGACTATGGATTTTCAGGCTTTGGGAATACCACACTACCAAATGATGCAAACAGCTAGTTATTTACAAGCATTGAAAAGGAAAGGTCCGCAGTAATGTGTGCTAACAAGCCACAGAGTGGAACACTGGGTGTGTTCAGATGTCAGACTGCTAAAATAACAGCACTAACAGTTGTCCCATACATGAGAGCTGACTAGGTGCCAGGAACTACGTGCATGGACTACTTCATCTGGTCCCCTCAGCATCTTTATGAAGCCAACCCCATTATTACCTGCATTTTACAGCAGAGAAAACTAAGGCTTGCCTAACTTGTCTACATGCCAAACGAGCTGGGGAACTGGGATTTGAGTCTCCATGGACTGAATGAAGCCAGGGCCTGAGCTCTTAGACACCACACCACATAGCGTCCTGGGAATCCAATGCCTGTCTTCAACAAAGGATAGAAGATACTATTTAGGATATATATTTCATTTTTAAAATATGCAAGTAGGAATCAATATGTAGTTTTCATAAATAGGTGTCTATCTTTGCTAATGGAGTAAGTTTCATTGTGAACATATAGACAAGGTTTTGTTGGGTTCGTACTTCTTAGTTTCTCAATAATTACCTTGCTGAGTCACTAAAAACCCAGATCACACAAATGCCAGCATTTGGAGAGATGTTTCAGTGCCGACACTTGTGGTAGGTTTCTCATGTCCAGTTCCTCAGGTCACAAAGCCCTAACGCCACCCTGTCCTAAACTGAGCCCATACACTATGATTGCCCCAGGGCCAACCTCACTGTGCCTGTTTCTCCGTGCTTGCACAACCACCACACAAATGGTGGGGCAACCCTGGCCCTCTGCCCACTAATCGTTCTGTGGCCACTTGTTTTTCAGCTGGCCCTGATCTCCCACCTTCCCATTTTCCTTCCACTGCAGGCTCACACTCTCTCTCATCATCAGCTACACCCCCAGCCTGAACCTCTTTTCTCAGAGAGAAGGTGGTCCCCAAGGTGGGCCTCTCCCTGGCTGCTGCTCTGACTCTCGGCACATTTCCACTGGACCAGGCTCAGTACACCACTTCAAATGTGCCCCTCACATCCCCCTAAAAGCTGAGCCTTAGCCATCAGACTGCATCAGCCACTAGCCTTCATGTACACCAGTTCTCAAGAAGCTCTCCATCATTTCTTGATGATTTAGCCCCTAACTCTCAGCCACATTCTCTCATTACCATTCCCAGTGGCATGGTGGCATGCTGTAATCCCAGCACTCAGAGGCAGGCAGATCTCTGTGAGTTTGAGGCCAGCCTGATCTACAGAGCAAGTTCCAGGACAGGTAGGGCTGCACAGAGAAACCCTGTCTCAAAAAATGCCCCAAAGCATGTGTTAATAAAAAGTTGTATCATATTTAAAAATAAACATCCATTGATTAAAATGGGTATGTATTTTTTGGGGGGTCGGAGGTTCAAGACAGGGTTTCTCTGTGTAGCTTTGGAGCCCCTCCTGGAACTCACTCTGTAGACCAGGCTGGCCTCAAACTCACGGAGATCTGCTTGCCTCTGCCTCCCAAGTGCTGGGACTAAATGCATGCGCCACCACTGCCCAGCAGCCTGTATTTCTTAAACTCAACTATACATAGCAGAAGCAATTCAGTTCTGGCCCAAGGACGCACTGCCCTGCATGCCTCAGAAATGGACTGAGCTCCAGCCAGCGAGATGTCTCAGTGGGTAAAGGCAGCTGCTGCCGAACCTGACCACCTGAGTCCGATATCCAGAACCCCGAAAGTCGTCCTCTGACCTCTCACGTGTACACACACATACACAAAATGAATAACTGTAAAGAACGGTTAATGCAGTGAGTTAAAGAGACTGTGTGTGATAACTGCTGAATGAGTCCCTCTAGTAGGGCTCGGCAGCTTTAGCGTCAGCCTCCTTCCTCCTCGGCAGAGACTGCACAAATGCTCACCACACATTTCCACTCTTGTCTGGGTGGCTCAGCTAAAGGAGCTGATTTTATCAAGCACTGTTTTCCTGAAAGACTGTACCAAGGAAAGAAATCATATTTCCAAGACATTAAGATCCTGTCCAGTTCACGTCATTGGGACACTATCATGGTCCCGATCACGAAACAATGGACATCTGATGTGAATGGGGCTAAGAAAGAGCATGCTGGAGTCCTTGCAAATACAACCAAAGCCAATAAAGATAAAGAACCATGAGCATCATCCCTCCCGGCAATAGAGCAGCCTTTCATTAAAGACAAAGTAATTTATTAAGAGCTAAAAAAAAATCAACCAGACGTGGGAAGGGCAAGGCCCACGAGGGAAGAGGGAGTAGCTAGCCGGACCCTTAGCAATAGATTGAGAACTAGCACAAGCTTCCCATAAATTACACCAGACAAGGCTGAGCTGAGACTCCTGCAAGCATGACCACACTCAATCATGCCCGTGCCCACTGCCTGTGTTACGGTGGGCAAGGCCCTCTGTGTAGTCCAGAAGACAGTGACGAAGAAGACACAGCTCCCGCACTCGGGAAACTGTCATCTGAAAGACACCTATGTGGCCACAAAAGCATGGGCCAGTGCCAGTCCTGGAAGCTCCATTATAAAGAACTTCCTGGGGATGAAAACACTCTAAAGGCATGCAGCTTACACCACACACAACATCGATGGCCGTGTTAAAAAAAAAGCAACTGGATGTCCTGCCGAGAAGAAAACATCAGGAGAAAACACTTGGTAATGTGGCCTTGATGCTTGGGTATCACAGTGAGTGACTTCTTGTCCACACCACAGGGCAAGGACAAGTTACAGGCACTTTGAACATCTAAGTGAGAGGATTCTATTTTTGAAGACTAAAAAACAATCTCATGTATTTTTAAGTTATATTCATCTCTTGAGAGAGAGAGAGAGAGAGAGAGAGAGAGAGAGAGAGAGAGAGAGAGAGCACTTGTGCCACCATGTGTATGTAGAAGTCAGATCTGTCCTCTCCTTCCACATGCGGGTCTGGGATAGGTCAGGCTTGGTAGCAGGTGCCCTTCGCCCTCTAGGCCATCTCCCAGGCTGACCACCCCTATTGTGACACGCTCATAGAGAGCTTTCCGAAGCTCTTGCTGATGTCCATAGGTATTTCTTTCTCTCCTAGAATTTTTCCCTTGTCTAATTGTTCTCCGTTCAGCCTGGGCTTTCCCTGGTCCTGGAACCATGGTGCACGGCATTTTTCTTCTGCAGCAAGAAGAAAAGATTTACTTTATGTAAAATCAGTTAGTCTGGACATAACATTTTTACTGGGATACATTAAATGGTTTGATTTCACCACAATGTTTAGAGCACGGCTGAAGAATAAACATTAACTAGCTGAAATGTTTATTGCTCAATATACCAAGATCAATAATACCGTAATGAGAAACTGATATGACAGTTGTAATCATGTTCCTTCCATGACAAATGAAAGCAGTCTCCACATGCAGTAAATATGGAATCTTAACAAAACGATGGAAGGATTTTTTTAAAGTAGCAAAATAATGGAAGGGCTTTTGCTAACAAATAAAACATTTCTATGGTGCTCTCAATGATGTCAAAAGTAGCACACAGTGGTGGTGTTCCTCATGCATTCAGAGTGCGAAGGGTACTTCGTAAGTCTTAGACATGGGGAAGGCTGTCTGGCGGTGTTTCCTTACTGACTACTGCCATAAGTTTCACGTTATCTTCAGACATAATTGACCATATGTGGTCACTCATTAAACTCATATATTTGTTCAATATGTGGCCAATTTTCTCTATCTCTTTTATTGCAGTTCACCTCAGAGTGGCTTTGATTATAAGCTCCTGGTAACAAAGCCGCCTCACAGAAGAAAACCGAGTGGGAGATGCTATCTGGTTTGTGCTTCTGGAAGATGCCCATATCAATTATCAATGAAACTATTCATTATTTTAAGATGCTTAATTTTTAATTCAAAGCAATGATTTTTCACATGCAGGAGGGTGTAGTCAAAGTATAACACTATCAAGTGTATGGAAGACCTTGAACAGAAATGGCTTGGCAGTCTAAAAGGAATAAAAGTCAAGACCCTTTACAAATTCAAACACCAGGTCCCCTAGAGCGAAGTCATAACTAAGAGCCTGATAACTATGTAGCCGAATGCAAGCCTGTCCTGGTATTTACAGGGACCCAGTAAAGACAGATGTGTTCTACTGTCGTCACAGCCAAGAGCAGAACTGACGAAGAACGCAGGCACATCCACATGAGACGCCTCTTCAAGATGAACAGCAGCGAGAGGAAAGCGCTCTGCAGCATGAAACCAAATATCAGGACAAATATTTCAGGGTTCACGGTGAGCAATGCACAGGGCCAGCGCCATGAAGGAACCCCACATGAAGGACGCTGCATGTGTTGGCTAGGTGGCTTGGCCAGCTTTCTTAGCCTTTGTGACCCTTCCGTCTGACGTGTCAAATAGTACAATCCTGTATAGTGACTACGAAGAAACAGAGAGCAGTAATTGTGGCGATGTGCTTGGTACACTAGT